AACCCATGTTGCAGATTGCACTGTACACAATTAGCACCTGGGCAAGAACGGTATTGGAGAATGTAGGTTCACTAATTGGAAGATCAGCTCCTCCTGATTTTCTAGCAAAGTTGACATATCTGATCTGGAACCACCATGAAGAAATCCAGCACATCGACACTGTTAGAGCCTACACTTTTGGTTCTCATTACTTCGTGGAGGTTGACATAGTGTTACCGGAAGACATGGTCCTAAATAAGGCACATAATATTGGTGAGGAACTACAACAGAAGCTGGAGCAACTACCCGAAGTAGAGCGAGCCTTTGTGCATATTGACTTCGAGTTCACTCATAAACCTGAACACAAGGCCAAGGTGTAAAGGTAATACCAGTAATGTCATATTTCTAAGACTGCGCCCCACTTTGGAGACTTATTGACTAATTTAGATGTTAAACCAGTGGAGTTTATTAAGCCTGATTTGGAATTAAAGTGGCATTCGTCTTAATTAATTGAATTAAAAGGGGGAAGAAGATTCTATAACACCTACCCATTATAACAACATTCAAACTGAAGCAATGCTTGAGGGAGTATGAAAACCTTCTATAGAAAAAAAAAAAAAACAAAAAGGTTAAACACCCATTTGGTCCTTTTAACTTTTAGTTTTGGGCAAAGTTCATCCTTGAACTTTAAAGATTATCAAATTTGTCCCTGAACTTTATTTTTGTGTTAGCAACTTGGTCCTTCCGTCAATGAAAGTGCCCATGTGGCAGGTTAACATGCCACGATTTCAATTTCTTGAAATTTAAAAAATTATGCGGAAAAATAAATTATTTTTTATATAATTTTTACATATCAATTTTAAATAAATAAATAAAATTATTATTTAAATAATATATACATTTTATAAAAAAATATAATAAAAAAGGTTATTTTAAATTATTTTCTAAAACAAATACATGTGAATCAATGACACGGCAATAAATATGGGGTGATATTATTTGGGTGATTTTTTTTTTATCTTTTTATGTAATTTTTGTGTGTCTTACAAATGTTATAAGTAGATATATTTAATATTACATATTTTATATAAATTAAAAAAAATAATTATTTTAATGATACATTAAATTATATAAAAAATAAAATAAAAAGATTGTGATAATAACATTTATCTGACTATGAGATACGTCTGATTAATTTCTCAACAGAATTAAAAAAAAAAAAACCCCCTCTGCACTCCGTCATCTTCCCCAACCATCTTTCCCGCCACATCCTTGGCCTTCCTCATTAATTTCTCTCTCCTCCATCCCTCCCCCTTCTTCTTTCTTCTTCTTTTCTTCTTCTTCTTTTTCTTGTTTTAGATCCTTCTATAAGAACCCAGATCTAGGTTCTAGATCTGGTTTTCTAAAAGAACCTAATCCTGGGTTCTCTTTGGCTTCCGATGAGCCTAGTGAATTAGAGCTCATGTGTTGCTTCAATCGCTCGTGGGAGCTCCGTTGACGACGGTAGAGAGGCCCTGGGACCCGCCGCCGATAGATGACAGTTTGGTCAGGGCTTTTCCTACTGGTAGGAACCTCCAGAACGCCCTAAACTTCCTTATCCACCATGTTTTCATCTCCCCGTTCCTCCGCTATGTCCAGACTGCATCTTAGGTCGTCTCCGCTCTCTGCGCCACGGATGACGATCCCATCACCCTGTCCTCCCGCGATGTCGTTCTTATTGACACTACCAAGCTGAAGGTTTTTCTGATCTCATCACATAATAGTACGGCAATCACATGATGGAAAATTTTGATTTATGTATGCATTTAGCATTAGTCTGCTATTCTAATGAAAATTGCTGCAGATACTAATGATTCTTTAGATCATGATTCTTTGAAAGGCATGCATTTTCTGCTAGCGTTTTTTTTTGAAAAACTCAGATTTTGATCTGGGTTTTCAATCGGAGAAGAAGAGTTCTCCGATGGTGAATCCGAATCAAAGGTTTGGTTCTTGGAAAGAATTTAAGTTTTTAATTGAGTTAATTGGTTTTTGGGAAAGAATTTAAATTTTTAATTATGAGTTAATTTCCTTTTTAATTAGTTTTAAATATGATAATCAAAATCATTTAATTTAATTTAATTTATGAGAGGGCAATGACAGAGAGCGATTTTTTTGGGAATGATTTGGGTATAGTTTTTTTGTTTTCTCTTTTGTATAATTTAATATGTTAATTTTTTTAATATACGTGAAACTTATGATATTAAATATATTTACTCATTTAATATCATAGAAAAATTATATCAAAAAATTATATCAAAAAATTATTAACACTTTTTTTTGTATTCATTATTAAATGAATCAATTAGCCATATCAAATAAAAAGTTGCTTACGTGGATGTTGAT